CTATCTATCTATCTATCTATCTATCTATCTATCTATCTATCTATCTATCTATCTATCTATCTATCTATCTGATTTTAAGGCAGCTGAACAATCTTTACCAATATGTGAACTATCCAAATAACTTAACCCTATTACATGTAGATGCAAAAACAACTTACAAATATTAGAAACAATATCCAAATTAGATTTCTGGCTTTTATCATAATTGAAAGGCAATAACAATGAAGTTATTAATTGCCACTTAACCTTCTGATTATCTAGAGCTCATAGTGAGCTATCTACCAAACCTTTCAATTCATGTTTTAACTTTGGGAAAGATTAAGGGTGCAGATGGATACGTAAGGTCTCCAGAGGCAAATATAGGGGTTGGTCATTGCTAAAGGATGCTAGTTAGCATTCATAATTACTCAAATACTAACTAGCATTCATCAGACCACTATTTACGATTAACAGACCAGGTTGTAGATTCTGTGCTAAGCATTGTCCTTGACACTGTTCCCAGTTCATGTTCCTAGCATTAGACACTTTGTGAATGTTACCTAGAATCAATTATGTATTTTACCAATAGTTTTCTCCAGTTTAAATTGTCTAATTGCCTTAAAAATTATAAAATGTACAAACTCTTTACTCTTCCAATGCATACTGAGGGATCATGAGTATGATTTACATGTACTTTCATCCATATAAGAATACACATTAAATTAGTGCTAACATCTTAGGAAGTAAATCAATTTGCACAAGTCTTTCATAATGTTTAGCAAAAATCTTCCTTGATATGCAACAGTTTTATAATTATGTGGCAGGGAAGTGTGAATAATCCAAGTACCAAAACATAGCCTCTTCATCCATTTTCTTTAAGTGCAATTATCACTGCAACAAGTTTCCAGTTTTAAGTTCCAAATTGCCTCTGCTCTTGAGACTTATACTTGCATGCAATGAAAAGCCATTTAAACATACTGTACTGCCAAAGTCTTTATATGGCAAGAGAATGCTTTGGCTGAACACACTTAATCTTTGAATATGTTTTTAATAAACTGTGTCTTTTTTAATTTTCTAGGTTAATGGGTCTTCAGTAATATCAGAACACAAAAGAAAAGGAAAGGGGGAAAACTGGAGTACACTGGAATAAATGGGATTAATTTAATGTCAAACAATATGCCTGCGTGACTACTCCAGAAATATAAAATGAAAATTCAAAATTAAACAATGAATGGGCCTTTCTATTTATTTATTACTTTTCTCCCAAGCACACCATCTTGTAGCCAACAAGAAACCAAACAATACAATCAGATACCTTCAATAATACNATGTTAACAGTTTTTAGGAAGATGATATGTGTGAAATGCTGGACATTTTTAGAAATTAAGTGATCTTGGCATCAAAACTGTGAACTAGAAAGGTTTCCTGTGGATGTTGCCAATGTATGTTGCCTGCTGTCATCTGATCCATTTATGAAACTACTTATGGATTTACAGAAACCACAACAAAAAAGAGACTTTTTAAAAATAATCATTTTAAAATAATTAACCTAAAAATGAGCTTTAACTATATTTTTGAAAATATGTGCTTTTCCTCCTGATTATTCTATTTCGGTTATTTGTAGACCTGTAGTTTTAACCTTTTCAAACTTGGGAACACATTTAGAAACTACTTCTTAATACTTTACAGATATCTGCATAATGATAAGTGTGCCAAGACTTGTCAAGACTGTAAACCACAGGAAGATGTGAACCATCAATTAAAATAAAGGTCAGTGTTGTTGGTTCTTTGTATTTTTCTCTCTGCTTCTTATAGGTGCATCAACATTTTTTTTTCTAACCAGAACTTTCTAGGTTATACAGAGAAATAAAAACACAATGTAATGTAAAATTACTTTTCTATTTGAGATATTTTCTCTCCCTAAAGTTTGCTTGTTTATTCCTCACTTATATATAGCCATACATGACACAGAACATGATTCTGGGTGATGTACAATGAAAACAAATCATAAAACAAACATTAACACATTATAAGACACCAATCTTATTTAAAAAGTACTAGAAGAAGAGTATATTTGGTGTTACATACTCAACCCATAGTTATCTCAACCCATTTGTGTTTTGATATCCCCAAGCCTGTTGGCATAGCCACAGTTTCAGGTACTCTCAGGAGCTACCAAACATGGGCCATTCTCACCTCCGGAGAAATGATGAGCAAGTCCCATAACAGAAATGGCCTGTTTCCTGAGTACTGCCAGATATAATTCCTGTTTCACACCAGTCCCAAAGGGCAATATATAATTTACTCAAGCAAAAATGATGGATGTGATTCTGTAGTGAATCAGCTTTTTAGCATGCTTGGACGGACATACATACATACATACATACATACATACATACATGCATGCATGCATGCATGCATGCATGCATATTTACATATTATATTTATTCATAATTACTGTTTTTAATTTACTGTTTTTCAATGTGATAGCTCATAGCTCAATGTGCACGGCTAACTGAATTGTTCCATTCTACATGGCATTATGCAAAAATCAGTTTTATTGCAATGCACATATTTCTAAAGTAAACATATGGGTGTGACTGCCTATTATTATTTTTACAAAATTAATTTCTGGGCACTTCCTCCTTCTGAGTTCTGTCAGTTATGACAGGTCATTTTGCCCAGCCAATAAAAGTAAAGTCTGAAATAGCTGATGGGGCTAAAGTTCAATAGAAGCCATCTTAAAAACTGCTATCCTGATAATATTAGCCATAAATAAATTGAAGCAAGAAGACAAAAAAATCAGCAACATTTTACCATTTCTTTTGCCACCATGCCTCCATCTTTGGGAGCTAGGGTTATTTGTTTGGTTTTTACCACTGCACAGTTGAGGTATATGGATTCCACTATAATATTTTACCAAGGCTTTATTTACACTGTTACTTAGTGAATGAACCAATTATTTATATTCACATGGTTTGAAATACACATCCTTGCTGAATATTTGTTTCCTCTCTCTTTTTCCTTCCCCTCTAAAAAAAGCTCAAACATCTTTAGGCAGAAGTTTAACCTATGACCTGTCTTTCAGATTTGGTCACTGTGAATGAAACTTCTGTCCCACAAGTGCAGTATTTTTAAAATCAACCAAATGTTGATCTATTGATTGAAACAGGAATTGGCTAATTAGTTGATCATTCAAACCCAACATGTCAAGTTGAGAGAATGACTGGTCCAATCTTTCATGCCTAAGGTGGGAGTAGAATTCACAATCTCCTAGTTTCTACCTTGGAGAATTAACCACTAGGCCCAATTAATAATTTTTCCATTTATTGAAAAGTCCTTATATAGTTTTTAAAAAAAATAAAAAAAATCTACAATTTCATTTGAAAAGTATTGATTGATTTAAAAATGATTATTCTGCTTTCTTGCTTTTCTTCGTTTTCACACAGGGATGAAGGAAAGGAAGACATGATCTCTTTCTTCTAAAAGGAAGCATTGGTAACTGGACTTGATTAATGTGAAAAGATCCTCTGAATCTCTTTGTTGGAAGATAGTATTCAAAATAAGCCTCTTTCCCAAACTATTACAATTAAGCAGGATTGTCACCAAATGTGCCCTCAAAATAAACTACTCAACCAGGAAAACTTCAAAACTAAGAACTGTTGCAATGAAATCCTTCAAATGATTAGGTTTCTATTTCTAATGTATTCCAATAAAATGTAATTGTTTTAAATTTAAGACAAATAAACACAGGAGCCATTGTTTTTAGGTTTCAGAGATTTTTCAAGAGCAAAAGATACAGCTGTGTCCTCACCTTTACCTCCAGAGGGCATGGTTGCTACATCATCAGAACCTGGCAAGCCTGTCCTTATTCCATTGTTAAAGGTGTGTCCATCTGCTGGCTGTAGCTGCCAATTTAGTCCAAGCATATGCATTGCTGCAAGACACAGAAAGCCAGGAAAAATAAACATACAAGGTATTGTTTGTTGAAGTTGAGAGGGAAAAGGTAACCTCTTTTAAATGGGCATCTCCTTTCAGATACAGAGACACCCACACACATTTTACATTTCTTGAATTACCACACAAACAGTAAAAAACATTAGACAACACATACATATGTGTAAATTTCTTGTTGTAACATTAAAATTAATTGCATCTTTCTTAATTGCCTGCTAAGAACTTATTCAGAATATTTTTTTTCCTTTTGGTCTACCAAGATTGCAATATTATATTGTATAGGCCTTGTTAGTGATCAGTTTCCCTAAGTGGATTTACTGCTGAATAAACAAGACCAGGTATATGCTAGAAAACTAAGAGTTTCCTAGATTTAAACTTGTGAAGTGAATGATCTCTGTTTTTTTATCATATCAAGAGTTAAATTTAACATATTTCAATAGCACTATGAAAAAAAAAAACCTTTGTCTTTTAACCAAAAAATGTTTCATGGCAGAATTGTTATGTTTAGGGGGGAGGGAATCAGAAAATAACTTATGTGAAAAATAGATGTGCCTAAAAATCAATTGTTTTTAAGAGTAGAAAATAATAAGTTAGAGTGGGACATACATTTTTTTCAGTACTCTTGAATTTATTTTGTTCAATTATATTGTGTGTCCTATAGATTTTTGTAATCTTACAGTATTTTTAAGCCTTTTGAAAACATGAAGGAAGAGCTTCTTTTATCTTTCTAAAAGAAGTGAGTAATGTGTTCTCTGTATATTATTGCACTTCACATACCTGCTGGTGTCTATTTTCTAGCAAAAACAGGATTGTCTTTAGATATGGTGTGAATTGGTTTTAGAGGTAGCCACAAATTCTTCTGTGATAGCATTTCCTTGAAAAGTTTGTGTGTGTGTAATTAGAATGTTGCAAAATTTCAGAGGAGTGCTTATTAGATGAGATTGTTTAACAACACAAAATCAAAATTTATTAATATTCCTAAAATTGATTGACAAGAGTTAGACTCCTTAGATGACCAGATGACACTTCATATTTAGAACTGCCCTTGGGTTTCAATTTAAATTGCAATTGCAATTTTTCTTCCCTTTTCTGCTTTAATTGATTTGTCTGGATTGCATTTTGCTTCTTTATTTACTATGTGTTTATTTAAACCCCAGAAAGATGCTGATAGAAAACCACAAATGAGATTACTTATAACTTGTACATATACATATATAAAGACAGATTTCATGGCAAAATCCCTATGACTGATAAACTTGAGAAGGGAATAAAAGATACATTTTGTGGTACTAAGATAATCATATTCTGGGCTGCAAAAAAAAAAAAAATACTATGGAATTCCCTTGTTAAATGTTCCTCTTCTGGCTTCTTTTACATGTAATCTTCTCCCAAACTGATTGGTGTACCACACAACCTTCTGTGTTGACATCAGGCTTGCACAGATTTTTGCAATATAAGCTGAACCTTTGCTTCAGAGAATACTCTGGAGACAGTTTCCCAGTGTTTTCCCCAGAGATACAATGTGGGTTGTTTCCTACTGGTGAACTTCCTATCTTTCTGCTCTTCTGAATTACTGCTCCCCCTGAAACCAAGGTACAGCCAAGGCAAACAAGTATTCCTTCGCAACATCTTTTTTTGGTTGCTCAGTTGCTCCGAAAACTGGCTGCTTCATAAGTAGCTATTTTCTTTTCCTTTTACCACAAAATCTAAAGAAGGAAGGGCAATGATATGAGTGAGATATCGGCTTGCTTTTTTTACATTCACTCACTGGCAAGCTAGAGAACACAGCAGGTATTATTTATGTTATTATTTATTATTTTATTATAGATGTTTTAATTCCTATATAAATATTTTCTGTTTCTTAGGCACCAATAGTAGATGTCTTTTTCCTTCTTGGTTCTGTCACTACCCACTATCCAGGAAGAGAGATGTTATGGATTCCCTTAAACTAATCTGCCAAAGTCTAAGCTCTCTATCTTTCATCACCCAGAGAATTTGTTTCAAGGAAACTAGTTGCTTTATATTCCTTCTATTGTCTCTGTGGCGGCCTCTGCCTGCTCAGCAGAAAGCAGTCACTTAATCACCCACAAAAGGTAATCAGCAATTCTCAAGGCACATCCCTTGCAATCAGCAAATATTCAGAAGATTCCTCAGAACAGGCATAGTTCTCTAGTCATTCCACTCTCCTCTTTGTTCCTTTCTCTTGTTGAACTCCATTGCTAAATGCTTAGTAGCCCTTCTTATAATTGTATTTGTTAATTGAAAGCTGACCACAAATATCTTTTTTTTCTTTTTCCCTTCCCTTCTTTTCCTATACCTTCTTCATTAACAAACTTTTTTTATGCTTCATCAATAGATATTTCTTTAAGCAGGTATCCTAATATTTTTAATGTGTTGGGAAAAACAAAAGCCATACGCTATATTTAAATTAGTGATTTGAAGCAGTGTTTTAACTGCAATCCAAATATACATGGATCCTAACTCATTCAAGTGGAAATACTGCTAATAAATTTGATGGTAATGGTGATTATTTCAGTTTATATTTATATTCCAACTTTCTGTTCAGAGTACAGATAAATGAAAGTATCCTAAGAGACCCAACAAATACAATATATGTCTTCAATGCAGTAAGTAGGATTTGCAAAATTAATCAAGTTTGTTTTCAATTTCCTTATCTGCATATTTCATGAGCATGAACTACCCTGCAGTGGAGTTATTAGGAAGGTCTCTGAAGAACCTAGCATGGGATATAAAAAAAAGTGTTCCTTTTAGGGCGAAAAAAAGATGCAGTTATAAACACAAAATGTTGGAAGCTGTGTAGGAGATATTGTTCGCACCCAGTTGTAGATTTGTATTTATTAATATGCATGGAAGTATTTTAAACAATAAGTTAATTATATGAATTAAGTTAAAAATCTCCCTTAATAATAATGATAAATTAAGCACTTTTAAAATAATATTTAAATTATATGCATTTAAGAAAGTTGGATGAAATATGTTTACACATGCATGTTTAAAACAACATTCATAGGAATAGAAATATACATAGGGATACAAAGCAGCGTTGATCAAAATCAATTTTGAAAATTAACAAAATTCAACATCTGAAATATTGTTCCTGCTATGAAATAATCAGTTTGAACTCTTACCAGAAACATGACAAAATGTAACAAAAGTTAGATATCTTCACTATATAAATTATAATTAGTGATTATTCTGCATGACTTAGTCTATCTCTAGTAAATAAAAGTGAATATTGAGTAGTTTTCAAGATTCTGAATTTCTTCTAATCAAGTACGGTTAACACAAGATTATTTCAACCTTTAGAATCTCTCTGCAGACTTGTATTTTATTGTCTATTAGACAGTAGTCGATAGACTATTGTATATTGTCTAACACAGTTCATGCCCTACATGATACAGTTTGGGGCTGTCAATAAATTCTACTAATAGCACTTCATTTGGCTCTGGTGATTTTTCGGTATTGTAACTTAGAAAGTAGGATTATTGCAGTTACTTTCACACATGAAAGTTATGGAAATATTTCCTCAAAGTTTTACTACTCGATCACTTTCTTATATTCTATCTTTTTGTTTCTTTTGATTTGAATTCAAAATACTACAATAAATTCCAGATGTTTAAAAGTATTAAAATTATTAAAATTGCATGCACATAGGACTGACATTCTGGGAGGAGGTTTCTCTCTACATCTTACACATATGCATGACAAAATATAATTCACAATTACTCTAAAATGTTGTGGAATCCTGCAAGTTGAATCAATTGGTTATGGAATATTTACAGGTAGCGCATGACCTAATCAGATGAAACTTGCCTTATTTTAATTTTTACATTGTTTTACTACTGAATGGGAATTTTTACTATATTATATGCCTTTACAGCTTAAGGTGCTTCTTCGATACAAATATAAACTAAACAGATTAAAGCAAAGTGTCTACAATCACATTTTGACAATGGCACATATAATATATATTCCTTTATTCTTACTGGTCCTTGAGAACAATCAGTACTAACATGATGGAAAAAGGTAAGAAAATGAATATACTGCATAAAACCCAAGATTACCAATGGAAATTATAAACAATCTCAAAATATAACAATGGGATTATCCAGTTCACTAGAAGTATTAATTAGAAAATATATTTCAATTTGTCCAAGATATTTAAAAAATGTTTGACAGATCAATTTACAAATCTCAATTTCACTGTACTGCAATTTAACAACCTTGGTTAGCTAAACAGAACAAAATAAAACCTCATAAACAATGCCTACAAAAGAAGGGAATGTCAAAATGATGGGTGTAACCACATAATTGAAGCCCTGTTTCTTTCTGTTTCATTACAACGAGATGACGCTTCAATTGTGTCATTGCCACACCAATTTTACTTTTTTTAACCCAATGGACATCTTTTACATAGTCTACCAGGGCTTGTATTCTAGATCTGGGCTGTCAAACTCGCAGCCCGCAGGCTGGATGTGTCACCCGGCCATGCTCACACCTACTTTAGCAAAGGAAGAAAAAGTCCTGATACATCATGAGATGATGCCATGACACCATAAGTTTGGCACCCCTAGATACAAAGTCCCAAAGCATCTTGGAAGAAGGCAGTGGAGATGCTTAAAAAGGCATTGACCTGTCTATGATATAACCAGGGACAAGCTGGTCTAGAGGAGTCTTCATGAGAGTCAAGTAAATAGGCAGCAGTTCTTAAGACAAATGAATTAACTGTATAAATAGGTAGTTTCAAGGTTAAGAAACATACAGCAAAGAAGCTACTGAAGCATGATAGGAAGAAGAGACAACATATTTGAACTGTTGGGGATATAAAGAGAGAATTTTCATTCTTACTCTGACAGATGGCAAATCTGTTTTTTTATGGCTTCATTCCAGTATATGATAAAGATTCGTATCTATCCATGGTGAACTGTGCCAGGTTCAAACCAAGCAAAAATCCAATCC